TAATTATGTTCGTAGTGTGGACGGTTGCAGGGTAAATTCGAATTAAAGCTGATAAATCCGAATTAAAGTCGTAGTGTAGACCAGGCCTAGTACAAGGTGCTCATCTCCCTCTGTACAAGGGCTGAGCTTATTGGTTCCACAACACTTCTTGCTCCTACTGGCCTCAGAAATGAAACACTTGGAAGGATCAACCCTTGAGGCTTTTTGACCATGCAGTTCACAACTATAGAAGTAATTAGTAATAGAGCTGTATTTCCACCATAGGTGATTTATGAAAACTGGAATGAAGAAGAACCCAATAATGACAAAGGAATTGAACATTGTGGAACATTTGAAGGAAGTCCAAAAATGCAGTGGAATGACTTGTATTGTGAACATTTACTTAATTGGATTTGTGAAATAAAAAAAGGTAGGACTACTGATCTATTTAATTAGAGCAATATAAACAAAGTACAGTCAGTTTGTTGGGCTAACTAAAATTAAAAATAGGCGTGACACTGAGAATCACTCTGTGTTTGAAAGCACAGGAAGGGAACACAGTAGATAAAGAGCAAGGACATGAATTCTGATCTCTTAACTAAATACAGGGATACAGAAGGTGAAAAAAGCTCCCTTGTATTTTATCTGTGGCCTTAGCTCACTATCCCATATATTGAAAAGGCTTGCAGTGCAAGGATGCCTCTCTCTTTAAGAGGAGTATCTCTCTTTCTTATCTCCTCCCTTTATCTGGATCCATTTTGTCCAAAGGAGAGCTGGAAGGCAGGAGGTATAGAGCTTCAATTTCCTTGAGCAAAAGTAGCTGTTTCATATTGTCTGAGAATATAATAAAAGTGAATGAACCAGTTGGTGTAAAAATCACTTGTTCTGACAAGGAGGAAAAAATAAAGGTTGATGTAGCTTACACCAACATTGTCCAAGGGGCAGGGCTCTCAACAGTAGAAAATCTGCAAAAGGTCATTGTGGCAACATGATTGACCCCAAAGCCCACTTTGTCATGTGGCTCACAGGCTGCCCCAATGTTACTCACACTCTAGCAAAACCCAGAAGTGAGTGGTACCATGAGGTGCTGTTTCCCTGGGAATGCAGGGATTGGGAGAAATAAGGGTTATAGGAATAAATGACTGACATTGAAACATACTAAATAAAATAAATATTTAGCTTATTTTGACCCTCTGCCTAATTTTCCTTCCCTCCCCTCCCCAGTTGTGGGTAGAATTTCTGCCCCCTCCCCCCAGTTGAGTATTTGAGTACATAAGCAGAGGGCACGGGCACCAGAACCTGTCTGAATGAGAAGAGAGGGGCAATGTCATCCGTGGTACAGAGATATCTTCGAGGCAAGTTTGAAAGCACCTAACTACCCATGTCTCTAAACTAAAAGGAAAGCGGGGGGCACACAAGAAACTGGCTAAGGGTGAGGTGAAGGATAGCAGCAGCTGCCCCCAGGCAATGAAACTTCTGAACCCTTGAGGTCCATCCTGACAGACTATTCTGGAACACCAGGAGATGTACTGGACTGTCACTTTAAAAACCATTTGTCATTTGATTAATCAAAGTTATCTTTCTAGTAAATTACTCATGACTCGGATGTCATCAGAATATTGGCTTCTGTGCACCAACTGACAAAGCACATCCTGTGCAGCCCCTTTTTAGCATTTTGAATGCTATGTTTTGGTTGGTATCTGTTTATCTGTTCTCAACAAGGCTTGTGAGGAGGATTTGAGAAACTGTGGGTGGAAGCCCTGATCAGTTCATCTTCATCTTGGACAACCTTTCAGAAATAAAATGAAAAGAAGTAAACGTTGTTATGAATAAGTAGTATTATTCTATCACTTTTGGATCTCTGCAGAGAGAGGTTAGCAGTTCTGTTATCAGTTCCTGGATTTTGTAACGTTTAACTCTTTTGCTTGGCCTCGGTGTGACCAAGGGACTGTCTTTTGTATGATACAATATTGCTCACGCAGTGACTTAACATACTGTTCCATAGGGAAGGGATTGTAAAAATATATAAACTAGCGTATTGATATTATATTTTGTAAAATCACCATTATTATTTCTATTGCAGCACTGCCAGGGGAACTGAAACATAAATATAGGGCGAGCCCATAAACGGCAGAGATGTTAGAACTCTGGGACTCAGCACCCTCTTTTCACACAGTGCTATCTTCAGTAACACAGCACTCTAAACCAATGTCAGTTGTAAATTGAAAGCCAAATTCACCAGTATGCTTTAGCTGCTTTGCACTGCTTTAGCAATGTGAAGCACATGTAAACTCATCTCAATTAATCAGGGGCGCTCTGGGTATTTTGCACTGGCAAATCACCCTTAAAAGTTAAAACCAAGAAAAATTTATTTTAGGTTGCTACTGCATATCTTGAACTCAATGGAAACATCCTCTTTGGGTTCCTTGGTTACTGTTCATGTATGAGATTCTGAGTAATTTTTAAAAATCAGACAAAAAAACCCAACTAGGTTAAGATGGAGCTAAGGATAGGAGAACTTTAGAGTAATTTAGAGAAATTAGATTTCAGGGATATTGTCATTGTGTTCAAACCAAGCATTACAAATCCAGGAAATTCAGACTTCAGGTCACACTTAAAAGAAATCCAAATATGATAAAGTTGGAAAATGCACAATTAAGGCACCTAAACAACCTTAACTCTTTCCTGTAATGTCACCATGTGGGGAAAAATATGAAAAAATCTAAAATAATTATAAATCGCTTTTATCTTTATCAATGACCACAAACAATATTGTATGCCATCACTACAAGGCAAACTTAAGGCTATTTGACTGTTAGAACCCAAATTGAAGCAATAGCCTAAAGAACGTCTGTTCCTCATTCATACTGTTTCATAAAATCTTCCCCTCAAACAAAATCAGAGAAGAAAGGAGGAAAGGTAACAGCAGTAATAATGGCCTTTGCGCAAACCCCCCCACAAGGCATACTGAAGAAAGAAGAAGAATTTTCAAGGGGCCAGACCTGGGGCAAGGAACAGGATGGTTTCTTCCTCATTGCCCACTTTCTAACTAGGGCATTAGAACTGTTCTAACTGTGAGAATTTCTGTTAGAGCCAGGCTTTGGGGGTCTATATAAAACTAGCCCTTATAACCAGTGCTTAATTTGTACCAGGGGCTTGCTTGCACTGAGCCTCGGCACCTCTAGGCATGGCAGTTTAGTCTCGGCACCTTTGGGCTTACTGCATCAATTATGAATATAAAAAAATTGCTTGAGCCCCGGCACCTCTTTCATTACAAATTAAGCACTGCTTACAATCTATCCTCCTGAGTCAGGCTTTGCATCACCTCCGTCCCACTCTGCCACCTTGTCTGCCTCCTTGTTACTTTCTCAAACAATCACCTCCATGGCTTCTTCCACACTGCCCTCTCTGCTTGGTTTGACTTCCCTGAACTCATCTGCAAGGTGCCTACCCTATCTCTCTTTAAATTTCTCTTAAAACCCCACTTTTCTAACACAAACCAAACCATCAAGATAGCACGAGTCAGTGAGGACACAGAGAATTACTTGTAATATTTATGAAAAATCAGTGTCATGAATCCTCATGTCTGGTTTGCACCGGTGTACATGGCAGCATCACTGCTGACACAGGCCTGCAATGGCTTGCTCTGACCCCTACCATATCGTAGAATGTTAATGAAATAATTAATTTCTGTCTAAGTAGGAACATTGAGGGTCTGAACCCATGGATTTCACCTAAGGCAATATATTTTAGAGCACATTTAAAAGTAGCATTCAGAGTGCATACTTATTGCAACCCAGTACTTGCTAGGGACATGTGTGTTTTCTTCAAATGTAACTATTCAATGATATTATTCTAAATGATAAATATATTTTATGTTAGTCTTGTGAAGTTAATGACAAAAACCTGTGCAGTGCATAAGATAATGCTTGATTCCTTTTTTTCCTGCAAGTCGTTGTCATTAGCTACTGCACAAAATCAATTTCCTTGAATGAGTGTTTGAGACAAAGCTCATGCTGATATTTTGTTTTACAGGCATTCCATTAAAACCTGAACCAAGTACTAAGTTTGGTAGGTATTTTTCCCTCTTGCCAGAAAAAAATATAACTGTATGATGAGAACGTGTACAGTACAGATACCGCATATGGCACTTTATTTATCTTTCAGATTATAAAGTCACTGACGATGGATGGGTTATCTATGAAGACAAGCAGTACTACTTCAGCACAGAAAATGTCCATATGGAGAAAGCTTGGGATATTTGCAAGAAGAAGTTTGCAGATCTTGCTGTCATTGACAGTGAAAGTGAAAGGAAATTTCTATGGAGATATGTAAGAGCCAGACATATTGATTCAAAAATATGTTCAATATAGCGATCATAGACACCTCACGCTCTGCTTTCAAAACTTTGGAGAGAATGCAGAGAGTCCCTTCAGACCCGCACCACATCTCATCAGGAGTTAATTATACAATAGAACCAGCATGGTTAATTCATTACATTTACATTTGTACCTACATTAGCTTCTTAACAGCCAAACTGCAGTGCAAAATAATAATTTCCAAACTCCGCTGCTGTTCCACTTGTTAGGTTCAAAAGTTCCAAAGATAGTGGGAGTTTGGACTGAGTCAGGCATGCAGGATAGGGCCTTAATGGTCTAATGAAACACCATCTGATGTTGATATGAGTGCTTCAGGCATGAGATGCAGCAAAGCAATTGAGAAAATAAAGGCAACGATCCAGAGAAAAACACTGGCCCACAATCTTATTTTAGGATTTTATTTCCTTTTGGTGAGTAGAGAGAAAGTATGTGAATGCTGAGGAGGTAGAGAGGAAGATACTGCCCCGGGCTGTATTATCTTGTCTGTCTGAGCTCTGCAGAGTTGAGGAGCAGAGAGATGATGTGCATTCCTGTCCTTTTCTATACATGCCTCCCACCCTCACTCTTCCTGGCTTTACTTGCTATCCACAGCATGGATCCTGGATCTGTGCTCTGTGCCCCCTGGGATCCAAAGAAGGGGAAAACAGCACCACAAAGGTGGCTGAGCCCCTTCTAGTTTTCTGCTCAGTATAAAAGATAAATGGTTTTAAATTAGTGTAATCTCTTCATGTTTTAGATTTACACTAAAAACAGAATGAATTCATATTTCATTGGCCTAACTGTCAGCTTTGATCAAAAATTTAGGTAAGTAAAGAAGCAACTTTAAAGTGTGTAATGAATGACTGCTCTTTAGCACTGCAATATTTGAGTTTCTTAGGTATTCCATTTCCAGGTTTGCTAACTTTTGTGAAAATTTACTCTAACTTAGTTTCAGCAGAAAAGTCTGTGTGAAAATGGTTTTCCAGTGTTATAAAAACAAAATCTTTTCTTTTCCAATTTCTGAATTTTGGGGGGAAATGTGAGCAAGTCAAATCCATGTGTTAAATTTCATCAATTTATTTGTTTTGTTTGTATTATGTAAAGTTGTTCCTCCAAAAGATGCTACACTCTGCAGGTTCTCATTCTTGGGATTTGTGCCCCTTGCTATGGGCATATTTAGTGTGAGAAGTGTGGTTTCCATTTTTCCAAAAAGGACAATCATATTGTCTACATCTACTCTTCATTTCATGATCGTCTCCCATCAGTTCAACAGGAAACAAGGGCAGTCTGCAGCCTGGGAGCAGACAGCTCTCTGAGGATCACCAGTGGGCCACAGTTTGAGAATTACTGTTTTAGAAACATTCTTGGAAAGGGTTTTCTGGAGCAGATGGGAGGGGAGGAGAGGCATTGCCAATGCCAGCTCCCTCGCCCTCACATTAAGAGAAGGGGAGGTCAAATGAGCTGCTAGAAATAAGTTCATTCTTCCACACCAGCATGCCAAGTAGAAAGAAAGCAAATGACGACCAAATGTGCAGTGATACGCTCCCACCCCAGCACTAAAATATTGAGGGAACAAGGGGATCACTGGGACGCTAGTGAGAGCTTGAGGTTTCAGGCTTTCTCAGCTTTTGGGGAAGGGCCTGAATTTTACTATATGTGGCTGTATTAGTAAAATGGAACAACAACAAGGTTGTGACCTATAAGTGATACCATGATACAAACAATAAATAATAATAATAATAATAATAATGAATAAAGACTATGTCCGCTAGTTGATGCGCAGGGCTTTCACCATGTAACTCCCACTATCGCAAATGGTATTTCTCTTAATTTTTTTGCCAAATGACTCCTGTAATGCTAAAACAATTATAAGGCTAGATATCCAGTAACTACTGTCATACTATCAGAGGGGTAGCTGTGTTAGTCTGGATCTGTAAAAAGCAATAGAGAGTCTTGTGGCACCTTTAAGACTAACAGATGTATTGGAGCATAAGCTTTCATGGGTGAATACCCACTTCCTCAGACGCATGTCATACTGTTTCTTTTAGCTGGCTGGATGGAACCCCAGTGAACTATGTAGCCTGGGCCCCAAATGAACCCAACTTTGCAAATAATGATGAAAACTGTGTGGTCATGAACAAAGATTTTGGTGAGTAATGGGACAATATTTTTGGATAAATGTTAAGAAATGAGTTGTGAGAGGGGTGGGGTGGAGCTGTTACTCTGTATGCCTCCAAAGAAATCTCAATTCTGTTCATAGAATCATAGAATATCAGGGTTGGAAGGGACCTCAGGAGGTCATCTAGTCCAACCCTCTGCTCAAAGCAGGGCCAATCCCCAGACAGATTTTTGCCCCAGATTCCTAAATGGCCCCTTCAAGGATTGAACTCACAACCCTGGGTTTAGCTGCCCAATGCTCAAACCACTGAGCTATCCCTCCTGCCCCAAAAAATGGAGATATTGTATCTCCTAGAACTGGAAGGGACCTTGAAAGGTCATTGAGTCCAGCCCCCTGCCTTCACTAGCAGGACCAAGTACTGATTTTGCCCCAGATCCCTAAGTGGCCCCCTAAAGGACTGAACTCACAACCCTGGGTTTTAGCAGGCCAATGCTCAAACCACTGAGCTATCCCTCCCCCCTTGTCAGCTTGTTTTACTGACAATGTCGGAGGCTCACCATTCTGAGGGTGATACTACAAATGTCAATCTCCTAAAGTGATTTTCTCTATTTAACTTATTTACAGGCTTTTGGAATGACATAAACTGTGGTATTAAAAATGCCTTTATCTGTGAAAGGCACAACCGTTCTTCTCACTCAGAATTTGCTTCAATAGCACCTTCTCCTCTGGGAGGATGTCCTGAAACCTGGCTTTTGTTTAATAATAAGGTACAGTAACAAACATCTACAGTATTTCAGGGAAATTAAATATGAATTATTATTTTATCATATATTTCATTCTATACAGAAAGCTGCATTCTATCTGGATGGTTGGGCCATTTTGATGATGTCATACTCACATTTAAATCTCTAATGAATTAATTTAACAGAGGAGTAATTTTTGTATCTGTTAGTAGGCCTAAACCAAAGTTATCTTTCTTTTTTCTGCTATTTGGGTTTGTTTTAGACAAGTTTAGTGAATGAAAATACCAGCTGTTCTATTGAGCAGAAAGTCTAAACAGTTTTCTGAATGAGGGTGAACTGGAAAAAATGCAGTAGGTCCACTTTAAATAAATAGCAGGACATCTGAATGTTGTCATCTTAAATATCAGCAAACTAATAGCTGACAAGGAAAACAAATATTTTAACCTTCTTGTGCAAATACTACTTTGTTCCTGTGCTGTGGTAAATGGAAATACACATGACCACAAGAACATGAAAATAAGGAACTACTCCCCTTATGTAAGGGAGAAGCTGTGGATGTGGTATACCTAGTCTTTAGTAAGGCATTTGATACGGTCTCGCATGATATTCTTATATATAAACTAGGCAAATATAATTTAGATGGGGCCACTATAAGGTAGGTGCATAACTGGCTGGATAACCATACTCAGAGAGTTGTTATTAATGGTTCCCAATCCTGCTGGAAAGGCATAACAAGAGGGGTTCCTCAGGGGTCTGTTTTGGGACTGGCTCTGTTCAATATCTTCATTAACGACTTAGATATTGGCATAGAAAGTACGTTTATTAAGTTTGCAGATGATACCAAACTGGGAGGGATTGCAACTGCTTTGGAGGACAGGGTCATAATTCAAAATGATCTGGACAAATTGGAGAAATGGTCTGAGGTAAACAGGATGAAGTTTAGCAAAAACAAATGCAAAGTGCTCCGCTTAGGAAGAAAAAATCAGTTTCACACATACAGAATGGGAAGAGACTGTCTAGGAAGGAGTACGGCAGAAAGGGATCTAGGGATTATAGTGGACCACAAGCTAAATATGAGTCAACAGTGTGATGCTGTTGCAAAAAAAGCAAACATGATTCTGGGATGCATTAACAGGTGTGTTGTGAGCAAGACACGAGAAGTCATTCTTCCGCTCTACTCTGCGCTGATTAGGCCTCAACTGGAGTATTGTGTCCAGTTCTGGGCACCGCATTTCAAGAACGATGTGGAGAAATTGGAGAGGGTCCAGAGAGGAGGAACAAGAATGATTAAAGGTCTTGAGGACATGACCTATGAAGGAAGGCTGAAAGAATTGGGTTTGTTTAGTTTGGAAAAGAGAAGACTGAAAGGGGACATGATAGCAGTTTTCAGGTATCTAAAAGGGTGTCATAAGGAGGAGGGAGAAAACTTGTTCACCTTAGCCTCTAAGGATAGAACAAGAAGCAATGGGCTTAAACTGCAGCAAGGGAGGTTTAGGTTGGACATTAGGAAAAAGTTCCTAACTGTCAGGGTGGTTAAACACTGGAATAAATTGCCTAGGGAGGTTGTGGAATCTCCATCTCGGGAGATATTTAAGAGTAGGTTAGATAAATGTCTATCAGGGACGGTCTAGACAGTATTTGGTCCTGCCATGAGGGCAGGGGACTGGACTCGATGACCTCTCGAGGTCCCTTCCAGTCCTAGAATCTGAATCTATAAGGGCAGAAAAAGAGGGAAGTAGCAAGTTTCATTAAGAAAAATATACCTCTTCAGTCAGTGAGCACTCAGACAAATCAGGGAGATCACTTTTGTATCAGCATTACAGAAAGAGAGTCAGATCTTCCTGCTAAATATATACGCACTGAATGAAAAACCTTCTTCTCATTTTATGTCTAACTGGGTCACTGTCCAAACTATCCCTGAAACCAACTGAATGGGGAGATTTAGTTGTTCATTAAATTTACAAAAGATTGATTACCCAATAGGTCAAAGCCTCAGCACGTGTAAATTGATACTGCTCCTTTCACGTCAAAGCTGCTTTACACTAGCTGAAATTTTTGGCCTAAGGACTCTAAGATGCTAATGAGAGACCCAGACTTGAGAGTGATCTGGGAAAGTGGAAATGCCAAAGGTACTGTACACAAAGTTTGCTCCAGAGCAGACCCCTTTCTTATCCCTAAAGCAAACCTCCTAGAAATACTCAAATGTAAAATCCTCTGCTTATTTCTCTTAGACCATTCTTCTATTCCTTTGCCACTCCAAACAGTCCTTAGACAATAATATTTTCAAGAGATAAATAGCATTCATAATTTTTCAGTCTAAGTGACTTTCTTTTTCTGAATTTTAGCCACATTCATGAAGACAAGACTGTGTTCCATAAGAAAGCACAGTATGTGTCTCCTCTGTTACAGGCTCCATTTGAACTGAACGCAAAAACTTTGTCTACACTTGCGGCGGTGGCACATAGGGTACATGTAGCTGTATACCACAGTGAAAAGCAGGCCATGTCTACACGGCGGTATGTAGGTCCATGTGGCAGCGAAAGGCTCTGGCAGTGGGGAGGCAGCTGGGAAAGGTTCCGGCAAGGGGAAGATGGGGGGAAAGGCTCTGGCAGCAGGGAGCTGCTGGAGTCTTTCCCCACTGCTTCACTCCTGGTGGAGCCTTTCCCTGCTGTTGGAGTCTTTCTCTGTGGCTGGGAAAAGCTCTGTCAACAGGAAGGCAGAGGGACACTACGCTGCTTAAAAAAAAGCAGGGTAGGCATGGGGAGGCGCTGCTTGGGGGAGTAGAGAGCTGTGTAGGGGATATACCATAAGGTTCTGATGCGTCTTTACTCGCCTAAGCAGTGCCCCACCATCTACACTGCTTTTTATACCCATGCCAGGGGGCATGCAGAGTCTGCTTTCTACACATGTCTATAAGTGTAGACATAACCAAAATGGCAGCTGCCTTCAGCATACAGCACATTCCTAGATCTTTAAAGGTTAAGTACATATAAAAGAAAACAGGTTTGATGATGATGATGATGATGTAAAAAACTAACTCTTATATAGCGGTTTTCTTCAGTAACTCTCAAAGCGCTTTGCAAGGGAAGTTAATATCATTATCCCATTCTTACAGGTCGGGAAACTAAGGCAAAGAGAGGTGAATTGATTTGCCTAAGGTCATCTAGCAGGCTAGCAGCAGAGCCAGGAATAGGTTTCCTAAATCCCAGTCCAGTGCTCTGTCCATTAGATCACAACTCTCTCCCGATTGACAAACAGCAACCACCAGGGTGCTGCCAAAACGGGCATGGATTTAACCCAGTCTTCATCGTATTGTTCAGTTCCTTCTCCCCTTTGGACATTGATTGTTACATTTCACCTTATCCTACAATTATTGCCTAACCTCGCTGATTAACTTGGACCAGACATAGTTCCTGCTTGGACGCTCTTAGAGAATTCACTCCTTCTAGCTCACCCCTGAAATCAATGTCCTTTATCAATATATAAATCATAAGTTCTTCTCCAACGCTCATCTTGGATGGCCTGTTGGGGTGGAAGTACTGCACACCCTGCCAGCTCCACCCCTTTTTATCTGGCATTACAAACAGTCCCCCACTCTTTGAGCTCAGAATGCGTGAGCACTAGGACTGGGTCAAATCTCATGGTTTATTCTTTCTTGGGCACTTTACAGTAAAATGTCCTGTTTCCCCCCACAGTGTTATAAAATATTCGGCTCCAGTGAAGCAGAGAGATTGACTTGGCATGCTGCACGAAACACTTGCATAAAGTTAGGAGGAAACCTGCCTTCTATACATAATGAACAAGTGCAAGGTATAATATCTGGTCCCTTCGGTACTAGATGAGACATCTACCCATTTCTAACAATCATAAACGTAGTTTATGTAGCTGGAATTTTGAGGCTGCTCCAGTAAACTATGCTGCCTTTGTCACTAATAGTTAATATAAGAATTAATGAAAACTACTTTGAGAAAAATGTATCATACCTGCCTAACTTCCAAAGTTCGATGCTAGCATGCATCACCATAGTACCTGAGTGCCTTCTGTAACACATTATGCATAGGGTACTGAACAGCAGTTCCTAGGTGGGGGGTACAAATTACCTGTGTTGTGGCTGTACTATTTCTGTGTCCTCTTCCAAGGGGCTGTGGTTAGAGTTTTTAAACTGAAAACCTTTATTTGTACTTTTCCTAATTGAATCCTCCTATCTCTTTTAAGTTACTATTTTTGTAACAGACATTCCTTTCAATCTCACCATCAGGCAATTATTTAGAGTAATAAAGTGTAGCATTTGCAAGTTTTTTTTAATTCAATACTTGAGCAGTAATTTTATTTTTAGTATTTTTTACCATTGTTCAAGTTTTGGGCATGCTGGTGTCTTCAGAGATTGGAGAAAGGGAATCCATTTTTGTAAAACATATACCTCTGGGTTTTTTGCAGCTTTCCTCACCTTCCATTTAAAGGATGTCATGGCTGAAACCTGGATTGGACTGAACGATATTAACATGGAGGGCCATTATCTTTGGACAGATGGGAGTTTATTTGACTATGCAAAGTGGGCCAGGAATTTCCCATTTAGAGATAGTTACATACGAGTTGACTGGACACTTGTTACACAGGAGGTAAACAGAACAAATATGACTAAACCACTGTAACCTGGGGCAGAGTCAAGCTTTATGCAACCAGTTCAACTTGTCTCTTATTGAAAACATTGACTGCCACGGAAGGCGGTACTGCAAACGGAGGGTTTACGTTTTTTACATTGTCTCCATGTACTAGCAGTTCTGATTGCAAATCTTTTTTTGCAGAAATCCAGAACTATAGTAGCATGGTGCTTTAACAGAGTTATATTCATTGCAGATACTCAGTATGTTTTTTTTTAACTTTGCATTATTTTCTTTTACATGATAGGTTGTATGATAATAGTGTAATAGTCTGGGTGCACTGTAAGGGATTGCCAGCACTTGACGAATGCTCTTGTACCAATCAAATGCAAGCCCTGAAGTTCATTTTTGCTTTTTAAGAAAATACTTATATTTAACCCACCTCCTTCCAGAATTTTAAATACTTGTTTCCTTTTCTTAAAAAAGTCATTTTATGTACACTGTGCCACAGAATCAAAATTAGAGCAGAAAAAGATTTATTGGGTCTCATTATTAATAAGTAACCTCTATTATTTTGCCAGCATTTTTTTCACTTTTATTAATTCATGTATCCTTTGTCCCTAGACTGACTGTATTGCAATGATGAAGAGATTTGTAGGAGAGGAAGGGAAATGGGGAAACAATGATTGTCAGCAGAACAAAAGCTATATATGCCAGATGGACAGCAGTGAGTTTAATTTGATCAGCCTTCTAATTTAAAGCACATTTAATAACCCCTCTGAGTTCTAAAGTTCCTTGTTTACTCAGATACTGTGGCTGCCAATATCTCAAGCATCTGGTGCCAAGAAGCTGCATCTTCTGTCACAGCCCAGGAATTCTAGATGGAATAGCTATCACGGGTATCCTATGTTATGGCTCTGAGTTGGGGTTAGATTTCACCTCCAGTTTATTTGCACTTCACCCACAGAGTCTGAATACTCAGGATTTGAGTGAAAAGGGAAACATTTATTATTTCAATTTTTCCATTTGTATGTTCTGACCAAGATTTTCAGAAGTGACTAATAATTTTGGGTGTCTGAATTTTTCGATGCCCATCTTGAGACCCCCTCAAAAGGATGTGATTTTCAGAGGGTTGGTGGTCAGCACTTTCTGAAAATCAGAACCATTGAAGAGGTCTTAAGTTGAACACCCTGAAACTGAAGAACTTAAAATCACCTTTGAAAATCTTGTCTTGGAAAAATAGGTAGGGTTTATGTCAAAGTGCTGAACTACAATAAAAGCTAATAAGTAATTACTGTTTTCATAATATTGAAATGCCAGACCATTGGTCATGGCATTGTTGGGTTTCTTTGCTGCAATTACAAAAATAAATTACTGCAATTTAACTGGCACTGCATGGGAAGGTATAATGTCTGGCCTTAAAGTCTATGAGTCAATAGGCTTGTCGTCACTACTGGGGAGATCAACTTTGCTGAAATCGATGCAGCGGGTGTCAAATTAGGGGGTCTAATGAAGACCTGCTAAATTGATGGTAGAGTGCTCCCTGGTCAACTCCAGTACTTCAGCTCCCCGAGAAGAGTAAGGTAAGTTGATGGGAGAGCGTCTTCTATTGATGTAGCACGGTGAAGACACCGGGATAAGTTGACCTAAGCTACGTCGACTCCAATTACGTTATTCACGTAGCTGGAATAGCATAACTTAGGTTGACTTACCCTGGTAGTGTAGACAAGGCCTCTGTAAACTTCTCTGCAAAACTCTACTTCTGTACCTCATGCCTGCAGCTGTTTTTTTCTAGTTTTGAGCCTTTCATGACCAGAGATGTCCCTCTGTACATTATTTTGTTGTAGTTTTCTATGTGCTTATTTAATTTGTAAGAACAACCACAAAAAGTGCCTATCCCAGCCTCTACGTGCCCTGGCTAATATTTAAAAAGCACAAGTCCAACAGTAACCTCCACAATATAGGGTATAACTAAAAATATTGTACCCTTAAAAATCATTAACAGAGAAAAAATGTCTCTTGGGGATTAAGTTAAGGACACAATAACAGGTTATACTATTCATCTGGGTCTGCGGGGATTTCATGTAATTTGACTGGCATTACCCAAGTAGGGTCAAAGCTACACAACCCAATTTTCCTCTAGATCTGCAGAGTGGGAAGTGGCTGGAGAACAGATTCATCCAAAGCTCATTTGCACTCATAGAGTCCAGAGGAAGAGGAAAGATGTGGCTAGTTATGGGGAAATGCTGGACTCAGCTTGATAGCAGATAGGTGCCACAGTTGGCACTACCGGAAGAACAGAAATTTGGGTCAGAGGATGGCAGCTGAGGATTCCCTTTACATAAAGGAATCTCTGGCTGGAATAAAGCATTCCCCAGTTGCTACTAAAACTGGATAAGCACAAAGGCAGCAGCTTTAAGCCATTTTTGCCCTACTTTTTCAGGCCCTGCACTGAGAACAACTCAGCCAAAGTCGTATTTCTGTATACCATACCATCAGAGGGATAATGCTGGTTTGGTTTTCCGTTTGTACCCCAAACTCTTTTGATTAAACTCTGGAAAGGGAAGAATGAATATTTGTTTGTTTTGCTTGTCCATTTAGGAAGCAATTTGCCCCACCCCTGTGTACTCCTATTTTGAGGATTTAAGTGGTTTCTGTGTTGGGTGAATTTCACAGTTGGCTAGAGGGAAATCCATCCTGTGAAAGCACCCAGCTGATTTTCACTTGTGACCTAGAGTAGGTGTGGATTCATTGTTCTAGATTTGAACAGCAAACACGATTCATCAAAATATATTGTATATATTTCTTTGGGTTGTAAATGAGGAATGATTTTCACTTATTGCTTGTGCTGTCCCACTCAATTTTTGTAATACTGCATTTATTTGTGGTGCAATGGTATGACTAACCAAGCATGCAAACATTTTCATTGGTTTTTTTTCTTCCCCAAAACAACAGACCCTGATTTATTTCATTCCCCAGCAATTCCAGCCTCAGACATTATTCATTATGGTAATAGTAGCTATTCAATTATCCGCTCCAAAATTAATTGGGAAGAGGCACGAAACAACTGCAAGAAAAAATCTTTAGAACTTGCCAGCATTTTGGATTACTATAGTGCTTTATTCCTGTGGTTATACATGTTGCAGTTTGGAGAGCCTGCATGGGTTGGTCTCAACAGCAATGTGGTAAGAACACGAAACGGGTGAGGTCTGAATGGTACGCTGCTACTCCAAATAGAGCTTGAATTTTCCTTTAAATTTTGACCTTATCCATTTTATAGGGCTTTAATAGGTAGACTCTTGATGGTCTCAAGCTGAGTATCAAGTTATCTAGGAATCCCTAACTCTTCTATGTCACGGTCCTTCAAAGATATCCTGAGATGCAGCTAGAGTAGCAGGGAAGCCATACTAGGAGAAACAAGTAGTGAGTGGAAAAGGGGAGCAATAGAAATGTAGTGAGGAAAGCTGATCAGCAGTTGGAGGGGAAGTCTAGGAAATGTGGTTCGGATGGTAAAGACTGTAGAAAGTTCTTTTCTGTTTCTGAGGAAGCTGCTATTTAATAGATACAGTAACTCCTCACTTAAAGTCGTCCCGGTTAACGTTCTTTCATTGTTACCTTGCTGATCAATTAGGGAATATGCGTGTTTAAAGTTGTGTAATGCTCCCTTCTAATGTCATTTGGCAGCCACCTGCTTTGTCTACTGCTTGCAGGAAGAGCAGCCCATTGCAGCTAGCTGGTGGGGGCTTGGAACCACAGGGTAGATCAGCAGCCCCCCTATCAGCTCCCCAGTCCCCTAAGTTTCCTGTGCAGCAGCTGCCCAGCAGGCTATCAATTGCAGCTGTCCCTCCACCACTGCCATGTGCTGCTCCTGCCTTCTGCCTTGGAGCTGCTCCCTGAGACTCCTGCTTGCTGTGCGGGGGGGAGGGAAGAGAGAGGGGGGAGGCTAATGTCAGGGTGTCCCCCTCCCCTCTGCTCCTGCACCCCGCTTACCCCATCTTCCCTAGAGCAGGGGGGACACACCAGGGCTCAGGACAGAGGGAGATTGCAGCAGCTGCTGTCTCAGCAAGCTAATCTAATTAACAAGGCAGTGTACTTAAAGGGGAAATGCGCATATCTCCCTCCATTCCTGCTGCCTTGTAGAGTGAGAGAGTTAACCCTTGAGGGCTCAGCCAACTGCTAGTTCTTCATTTAGCAGTAAGGGAGATATCCCACCTTTTGACTCCTCCACCTCAATCAAGCTTCACAATCATCATCGTTGTGTACCAGTATTAAATTGTTTGTTTAAAACTTATACTGTGTGTGTGTATGTATATAATATAGTCTTTTGTCTGGTGAAAAAAATTTCCCTGGAACCTCATCGCCTCATTTACATGAATTCTCATGGGGAAATTGGATTCACTTAACATCGTTTCACTTAAAGTCGCATTTTTCAGGAACATAACTACAACGTTAAGTGAGGAGTTACTGTATTGCAAAAGCCTCGCTCTTTGCTTGATGGTTGTTTATCCCAGCGTTGTGGCTGTGGTGGGTGCAAATTCTGCTAGCAAAGACCAACACATTTAGTGTGGATCGGCAGAGGGGTATGTGGTGGAACTTTTTTCTTCTATTTGAGTTTCTGTCTGCTGCAGTTTTTTCAGTAACACAGTTGGGAGTATTACAGGTAGAAGCTTATGGTCTCATGCTTTTAAATAGTGATTGTGGTGTTTTCCTAAATTAATGCTGGGTCCCTTTTCCTTTTTAATAAAAGCTTTATTTTGTTGTACACGGACTCAGTGCTTGCGAGTGGGGAAGTATTGCCTCTGACAGGAGCCCCAGGGTGGTTTTTAGTTTTCCCAGGTTGGTGGGACTCAATCTGGTCTATTTTGTGTTGTTAAGAGGAATCCCTGGATATTGAACCCGGCCCTTGTTGCTGCCAACTGCACCTGGCAGAAGGGTTACAAATGCCTAAGGCACACTGTTCTACATCACCCTCAGATGTGCTCAGTACTCATTTGAATGTGTCATAATAACAATGGCATATGGGTGTTTCCTGCAAAAATAGGGCTGCATATATCATCAGGGGATGTGTATGAATCCTCTGATCTGAAACAGGAGACTAGAGTGTAAACAGAGAGAATCATGTTTATGCCTATGAGCTGCCATTTGTTAATTCCATTTGTTTTGCTTTTAGACTGATGGCTATTACAAATGGACTGATAACAGGAGAATCAAATATTCTAATTGGGCTAGAGGGGAACCAAAACAGAAAATAGCCTGTGTCTATCTAGACCTTGATGGAACCTGGAAAACAGCATCCTGTGATGAAAATTATTTCTCTGTCTGTAAACGGTCTGATGGTAAGCAATTGAATGTAACAGTTCTAGTTTCGTGCCCTGGAATTCGAGAGCCTGCACTAGAGGTTGGATTTGGTTTTACAGCAATATATAATATTTAACATATATTAACGGATAGAGAACCTGTGTCTGTCAAGTACATAACCCTATTTTGCATTAATATTGCATTTTTTCAAACATGTACTCAATGACACAGATTGCTGCTGCTTTTTGGAACTCAGGAGATAGCTAATGAGTTATATAAAATTTCAAAGACATTCCTTAAAGCCAAACAGAGCGTGTATTATTGGAATAAGTGTCAGTACTTTTAAAGTCTGTAAAATGGAGTCTCTATCCAGTTGAAAGAATAAATAGGAATTTATGGGAGTAGCTCTGATCTATGAAGTCTAATTGTTGGAGGAAACACTCTGTTCCTTCACAATAATCAACCTGTATACAGTAGCAGAAACTTCTATGTTCTGCACAATAATGCCACTACATTGCAACAGTTGGAGGGTAGCCTGGATAATTACATCTGGTTACTCCTATTACCTATGGAAACAATGACTTCTAGATGGCTAGTGTGCTATAGGATGCAAAAAAATCACTGGTGGGACAAGCAAAAATATTACACTTGCAGTGACTCTATAGAGTGCATATATAGGCATCATCTATGATAGAACCCAACCTCTTCTGCTTCAGAAA